ACACCTGGGAAAATACACAGAGGCAGAGAAGCTGGAGATCCAAGTTCTGGATGCAAGTACCAGAATTCTTGGAGTGGAACACCCAAATACAATCACTGCCATGTCAAATCTAGCAGCCACATATCAAAAGCTGGGAAAATACACAGAGGCAGAGAAGCTGCAGATCCAAGTTCTGGATGCAAGCCACCAGAATTCTTGGAGTGGAACACCCAGATACAATCACTGCCATGTCACATCTTGCAGCCACATATGGAAACCTGGGAAAATACACAGAGGCAGAGAAGCTGTGGATCCAAGTTCTGGATGCAGCCACCAGAATTCTTGGAGTGGAACACCCAGATACAATCACTGCCATGTCAAATCTTGCAGCCACATATGGAAACCTGGGAAAATACACAGAGGCAGAGAAGCTGCAGATCCAAGTTCTGGATGCAAGTACCAGAATTCTTGGAGTGGAACACCCATATACAATCACTGCCATGGCAAATCTTGCAGCCACATATGGAAACCTGGGAAAATACACAGAGGCAGAGAAGCTGCAGATCCAAGTTCTGGATGCAAGCCACCAGAATTCTTGGAGTGGAACACCCAGATACAATCACTGCCATGGCAAATCTAGCAGCCACATATGGAAACCTGGGAAAATACACAGAGGCAGAGAAGCTGCAGATCCAAGTTCTGGATGCAAGGAACAGGATTCTTGGAGTGGAACACCCAGATACAATCAATGCCATGGCACATCTAGCAGCCACATATCGACATCTAGGAAAATACACAGAGGCAAAGAAACTGGATATCCAAGCTCAGAAAATGAAGAATAAAGTTCCTGGAGCAGAATCTCCCCTTATGAATTCTAGGGAAAAAGGTATGAAATGAGCTTCCTTTTTTCTTTTTCACTGACACTCATATTTATATGATTAGTGCATTCTCTGACCAATCTTGCCAAGAGGATTTCAAAATTCAAGTCTGGGATGATGCATTCATTTCATAGTAAGAAACATCTCAATGATGGCTTAGCAGGAACTAGTACTTAATTCTTCTTCCCCAATGCTTCCATCCTTTTCACCTATATTCATTTTCACTGAAATTCTGGCTTCTACTCATATCTTGATATTCTGTTTAGTATGTTGAATAAATTTCTCTTTGTCTGACTGTTTTAATTAATGATTGACTGTGTATGAGTTTATCAAAAGCATCTCATGATTCACCATCCCATACTTTATGTCTGTGCTTGCATTCAAGCCTGTCTTCAACTCTCCTGTTGAGCTGTCCATTATCCTCCAATGCATCCACTAAGCTACCAATGTGCATCAAGGCCTCTTCAAGTTACCTTAGTTTTGTTGAACTGCAGATACAAGTCTGCAATAGCAGTGCCAATAGCAGATACAGTTATGTTGAAGTGTGCAATCAAAGTACCTTCATGAGATGTAGGAAATCTGAATTTTAAATTTTGGCAAGAACTTCAGCCACCTCAGGCAAGTTAAAAAAACTTGATCCAGTATGTATATTTTTTCTTTCTTAAAAACCCCTTACTTTTCCTTTACTTGCCATCAATGCAATTATGTCAGAAACATCCTCCAATTTAGTGCGTTAAAGCCTGTGTGTTGTGGAATTCACTATCATCATGCTTGTGCCAATCTTGAGTTCAAGGCCAATAACTGTCATGAATCATTCCACACCCATGCCCTCAAGACATCCCCAAGACAGACCCCTCACTATGATACCTTGTTTCTCCATCCCTACTTTCTATTATCTCATTATCTTGTTATTCCTTGTTCCCATACCAGGGACCTATTAACTGACAAGTCTTTAGCTTCAGTCTTCTCAGTTGAAAATTTGACTTCCTACCATGCTCAGCTTCTTCCATAACAGTGTCTTTGTCATGTGTGATGCTCCCACTGCTGCTCTTGCTGGAAGACTTGCTGACAGAAGAACTAGATGCAGAATGAATGGTGTATGAGGCAGAATTGACATGATCTATCTTTTCATGAGTAATTAAAAATATTGAGAAAAATGACTGCATACCCTCGGGTCCTCCAATAAGATGGCAGTTTGGGATTTTGAGGTTTGAAATATTCTGAGAGAGTGCATCCCAATTCCAACCTGAGTAAATGTCCAAATGGGCTGATTGGGTGTGCACCATGTGAATCCACTGCACAGCTTGTCATCCCATGTTCTGAAAATCAGTGAACCACACTTGAATGTTCTCTCCCAGCATGTGCCCATAGAGTGGGTTCATACGATCAGGGTCTAACACCAATAAAACTGCCAGGTGCTGCATGGCAATGCAATTGAATTGAAATTGAGGAATGTAAGTGCATAGTGTGATGGGCAAAGAAGGGTTGATAGAGATGGAATGTGCTGCTGTGCATGTTATGACTTGCACTACACAGTGTAGTGCCCACCATAATGAGGTGCCAGTGGCAGGGTCAAGCATGTAAAAAAGCTGGCTCTTAGGAAGTGAAAGAGTGATGAAATTATTGGCAATGAGTGACCAAAATCCTTATGAACTGATATGGTTGCTTATTAAAGTCTTCTGTCAGGGAGCAAGCTAACATTCCATATGCCATCAGACAGAATTTCTGTCTATCTTCTGAGGACATTCTGTCTCTTCCCCATGCATGAATAAGTGGATGCATGGTATAAACACTTTGGATGAAACCAGTTTGACTAGGCTAAAAGACAGTAATACTCCAACTCCCTCTTTGAAGATGAGATTGTCCCATTTTCCTGTGTTGTGAAGCAGAAGCAGTGTGGAGTCTATTATAGAGCTTGCAAGAGGCAAGGCAGACCTCTTCCAATTATCTCCACACTCCTGAGTAGCAGCATAGGAAAACATTTCCTCAGTAATACCATCAAAATGAAAGAAGGCAAAGATTGCCAGCAGAAACATTGCACTCTTAGCTGCCTCAGCTCTTTGAGAATCATCGCTTTTAGCTCTATGCTGAATCTCTTTGAATGATAGCTCCAAAGTCCCATACACGTTCTGTTATACGTAGATGCCCCTCTGAAAGCTGGGTAAGATAATAATCTTTCTCTGTATTGAGAGTATTCATCAAGATAGTTTCTGATGTCTGTGCTCCCAAAAGCAATGAAAGCACCAGCCTGATCAATAGCTAGGGGAATGCAAAAGAGCTCATTCACAATCTTGGAAGCCTCAGCTTGTAGATCTTCCTGAGACTCATTCAACCAAGCAGCACTTAAGAGTAAAGAGATGGCATCAGTTTCTTCCATCTCTTTCACCTCAAGAGAACTCTCATGTAAAGTCAAATGTTTTAAGCCAGAGTTGCGACTAGTTATCAGAATATTCCCTCCTAGCCCAGGTGGAAAATATTGCTCCAGTTCCTCAGGTGTCAGATTATCAGCATTATCAAAGACCATTGCATAGTTTTCTCTCAGAGAGCTAATCCACTGTAAAGCAGATTGAGGTGAACCATCCAGAGCAGAAGACTGAGCCTTAGGAAGGTTGCAGATTCCCTTCAGTCCCTGTGTGATTGTACCAATTGAAGATGCATCAATCCAGAAAACATGGGAAAAGCTCAATACTTTCCATTCCTCCACTGATTCCTACCGGATTCCGTGGATTCCGGCTGGAATCCAGGAATTCCGCGGAATTCCAGGAATTCTGTGGATTCCGGCCAGAATTGACAGGAATCCAACTGGAATAGACAGAAATTTCAGTACGAATCTATACTTCTCAGTTCCCCCTACAATTCCACTTTAGCTAGATGTCATATGACTTAATCTGCACTTATCAAGACCTCCTGAATTACTTGTGTAATGCAGTCAGTCAATCTATTATTCTATTCTATGCTGATAACTTAAACTTAGGAATTGCTTATGATATTCAAATTTGAACATGGATAATTCAAGTGTATTCACTAGAACTACATGAGATTATTCTACTACAAAATTATCCTACTACATAGAGTGTTAAAGGGAGGGGGGAGGGATGGAGGGAAGGGGGAGAGGGGTGAAGGAGAGAGGGGTGATGGGGAGAGGTGATGGGGAGTGATGGAGAGGGGAGGGAGTGATGGAGGGGAGGGAGTGAGGGAGAGAGGGGGGAGGGAGGGAAAGAGGGGGAGGAATGGAGAGAGAGGGGGAGGAATGGAGAGAGAGGGGGCATGGAGGGAGGGAAGAGGGAGGGAATAAGGATGGAGGGAGGGAAGGAGGGAGGGAGGGAAGAGAGGGAGGGTGGATGGAGTGTTGGGGACTGATGGAGGGGGGAGAGTGTGGTGGGGAGTACTGGGCCTCGTCGCTGTTCGTCGGCCTGTGCTTTACGTCGTTCCTGTCGTGTCTTCGTTGACGTGCTCGCCGTCGTCCGTTGACGTGGGCGTCGTCCGCTGACGTCGTCGTCGTCGTCCGTTGATGTGGGCGTTGTCTGCTGACGTCGTCGTCCGTTGACGTGGGCGTTGTCTGCTGACGTCGTCGTCGTCGTCCGCTTATGTGCTCGTTGTCCGCTGACGTGGGCGTCGTCGTCCGCTGACGTCGTCGTCGTCGTCCGTTGACGTGGGCGTCGTCCGTTGACGTGGGTGTCGTCCGTTGATGTGGTGGCGGTCCGTTGACGTGGTGGTGTGTGGGTCGTCTGTTGGCGTGGCCCTCCGTTGACGTGGTGGGGCGCTGACGTGCTGTCCGTCCCTCGTTCTGGGCGTGGTGTTAGCGAGCTGGGTTGGGATGAGTTTGGGGGGGGTGCTCACCTAGGACGACGAACGACGATTTCGTCGTTCGTCGTCTGGCGACGTGGCAACGTGTTGCCGTGCTTGTTTACTAGGGTTGTTGATGTGGCGTTGAGGCGTCGTTTGCCGCGTCGTGGCCATCGTCGTTGTCTCATCGTTGTGGCTGGTGTGCGTGGTGGACGTTGGCGATGTGGTGTGTAGGCGTCGGTGATGATGGTGGTTGGAGAGAGATGTGGCGTTGTTTGTTGATGATGCCCAAATCAAACGTCGGCAAACGCCGACGTTTGATTTGGGCATCAGGAATTCCGTTCTGTCTGATTCCGTGAGCATTCCTTCCGGGTGATCACCGGAACCATTCCGGCGGAATTTGAATTCCATTCAAAATTTCGCGGAATAGTTTGATTAATTTGGCAGGGCCCTCTGCCAAATTTGATTCCTCCGGAATCCGGCAGGAATCAGTGGAGGACAATAAAGACCTCGAAAAGCTGGGAACCCATGAAATGGGGACTAAGTAGTATGGTGGAGTACTTACTAGTCAGACATATCCTCAATGAACCTCAAACAAATCTGAGTCTTCCCGATACCCCCCATGCCATACAACAAAAAGAATTTTTGATGGCGGAGTTTATCGTTGCTTTCGGCAGTAAAATGTTTCTTCAGTTTTGTGAGAACATTGGTCTGTCCTGTGAAATGAATACTTGAGTTTGGTTTTACGGGAATCGTTGTATATATTGTTCTGTTGCCAGCACTAGTGTAGTAATTGATCTGTGCAAAATACCAAGTGATTAGCTTGCGATAAGAGGCATCAGAGAACTTCACTTACAGCATTGGCGATGTTTATGTTGCTGTCAGTTATAACAATGTTCTGAGCTCCCTGGAGGACATTAGGTTGGCTCATGTTGGAAGTATAACAGATGGGGGCGAAGGAAAGAAGCAAGAATCATTCGCATTTTGCTGGGACATCCAAGCACTCACGTGACAGCACAGCCCAAAATTCTGTCACCTGGCACTCAGAACCTGGCTCAGAGAGGCATAAATGTTCCTGTGCAAGACTCAGTGGGCCACCTACCATACTTAAAAGATGGACTGCGACGTCAAGCCGTATCGTCTATCCAGATGTCAGTTTTCTCCACATCTTCACAACTAGGATCCATTTTGCTAACTTCTCATTTCGTAGGATTTGCTTCATCAATAATGTTCGTATGTATCTTTGGTTTGATTTTTTTCGTGTGTGATCACTCCTGACAGTGTATACGCGCACTTAGGCACATTATTCATCCTCGGGAAAGCTGAGTGAGGTAGAGTCGATGGGGCAGACGATTGGAGAATAATGATGTCAAGTGGCAGCTGGAAGTTAAACGCAGGCCAGCGGGGAGTCGGGGGCCAACTCAATCTTGCTTAACATCTGTGGCTCTTCACCTTGTTTGAAATTCAACGCTGTCGATGGACTAGGCAAGTAGACTGTTGAAATCGACTCAGCAAGCGCGTGTGATCAAGGCAAGGTGGGGAATAATATTCCAGTTGTCTCTGGGTGACAGAGGCAAACAGATGGGTAACTACAGTACAAGACTTCATATATATATTGTAGACTACAAAATATAAGGGGATAAATGCAAAACACCCCTAAGAATGCACGGAAACAATCAATGGAAGAAATGTACCTGAAATCAAGTGAAATCCGAAGATGGGGCACATTGCGCATGCTCATAAAGCTCCCAAAATTCCAACATAGACATTGGGAACTAGATCAATGCGGTGGCGGGAGTTCGAGCCACAAATGTGGTGGAGATTCACGCAACGGGTGTGGTGGAAGCTCGCACCACCAGCAGGACAACCGCGACTCGCACCAGACCAGACTACACAGTGCACCTTCACGTTGGTGGCATCACAGTCGATCCCTAAATCACAAGGCCCCTCAAGCTCAAGTCAAACCAGAATGTGCTACTCCTTCATTGGCTGGGGCTGGCCTAGTTCGATCATGACTGGTGGGTGCGATAAGGTCTTGAGGGTCTGGGATGGGTGAGTTTTTTTTGGATTTTTTCTTGATTGACTGATGAGCTGGTTCCTCAGCTGGATGAAAGGGTTGGGGTTCGATCACTTTCGGAAAGAGAGTAAATCTAAAACAACGGTGACAGACGAGGGTTAGTAGGGTTCGTTTGTTCGTGTTCACCCAAGTTCGGCCCTCCATGCTAAAATCCGAGAGGTCTCTCCGAATCGTTCTCGAGATACCTTGTTATTCAGGGTTGCTTTCATTCCTAAAATTTAGCTTTATTGTGTTTGTCCAGATTTTCAATTACTGGCTTTGTTGGATCCATCAAGGTTTTACCTCACTTCCACGGAATGGTGGGCAGTTGAAGACTTTGAATGGCCAGGACCCAAACCCAGGGCCAAAAGGATTGTTCACCCCATCTGAATGCTGACTCCAGTTAACGTTCCAACACCTTTGGGTCCCCACTTTCCCCATTCAACTGGTACTCCATCTGCCGCATCTTCTCCTCACGTCTGATCTGGCAGGATGTGAGAACTTGAAGGACCTAACGTCAGTTTACTCCTCTTCTCCATTCACTCTCCGATGTCGTTGCCAGCCTCGTTGTGATTCCTGATTTACTGACGATCGCTATTCCGGCTTGTCAGGTAAAGACCGGATTCAAACGCGTGTAGGTAATGATAGTGGAGTCTCGGACTTCCGCAAAAACACTAAGTCACTTATTCCCAGGTGAGTGGAGACGTTTGCAGGAAAATATCGACTGTATTGATAACTTTGCAGGGCGCACTTGTGCGCGCGGTTACTACAAACGATGAGCCGACATCTTGGAAAGCCATGCAGGAACTGTCGCAGCTCTCCCCCCGTCTCACTTTCCTTATAAGGAAAGTTGATCGTTTGGGGGAGGATATAGTACATAACGAACAGTAGAAATGTATGCCGGTTTGGTGTAGTGGTTATTTGCGCAGGTTTCTTGGTGCTTACCAAAGTGTTCGGGGTTCGATTCTGCTTCCTCCATTTTTTTTTCTACTTAAAACAATTACTTTACAGGATATTTTTCTCTCCGCACGGTAGCGTGTTCGTGTTTTTGGTTAAGTTAGGAGGTTAGGTTAGTTGTTAGGGTTGGGGTTGTTTTTCTCCCCGCGCGGTAGCGCATTCTCAGTTAGGTTAGGTGGTTCGGTTAATGGTTAGGGTTGGGGATATTTTCCTCCCCGCGCAGTAGCGCGTTCTCGGTTAGGTTAGGTGGTTAGGTAGTTAGGTTAGGTGGTTAGTTAGGTTAGGTGGTTAGATCAAGGTTAGATGGTTAGGTGGTTAGGTGGTTAGGGTAGTTTATATGCTCGAGAACGCGCGGTAGCGCGCTCTCGAGCCGACTTAGGGCAATGGCACATTGCCCTAAGTCAGGTTAGGTGGTTAAATAGTTAGGGTACATTAGGTGCTCGAGAACGCGCTACTGCGCGTTCTNCGAGCACGACTTAGGGTAATGGCACATTGCCCTAAGTCATAATATTGCCATATATGGAGTGCCGGTGATTGCCAGCACATCACATGTGTGAGACGGGGGGAGACGTACGACACTTCCATGCAGGGTATCCAAGTCGGCGCATCGTCAAATGTGAAAGAAGTGCCATGTCATCAGGAAATACTTGCTCCGAGAATGGACTCGACCCACGCATCCACCCATGTTAATGTATTCATTAATTTCCAGGCAGCAACTCGCGTCCTTCGAAGATTTGGAAGCTCGGCAGGACAAATCACCGAGGGCTCGCATCAGGTTCCTTACCCAGCTGCGCGTCACATAAATCGCTGTCCAGGACTAGAGCTGACGTTGAGAGTGGATAATATTTAGCATTGGGCATGTACAATCTGGCGCTCAACGTTCAATCGAAACGTCAAACTCAGGGAACCAGCCAGTGTGATGAACTCTCTTTTCAACTCCAAAGAATCTAAACAATCATCGGGGATAACTTGAAATCGCTCCATTTCGAGGGAAAGAACCTCTCCCTCGATCATCACCCCTGTCACTATGGGTCCAAGCTCCCTTGCGCTACGGCCGAACATGTCCGACACAGCGAGGGCAATGCAAAAAGTGGATCTAACCAAGTGTATGCGTGCATAGACCCCCGAGGACTGCATCATCCCTGTCCTCATCAATTCCGTCGTTTGTGAATCCCAAAAAAAAATCCTAAGGGGTGAGGGTAGTAAGTAAAGAATTCGTCAGTGACAAGAAAGCAAAGCGGATTCAAGTAAAAAACGAGATATAAAATTCAAGTTCAGATACGAAAGTAACTACTAACTAATATACACAGCTTCCCAACTTTGTCTGGGTTTTTTTGAGTGGTTTGTCGCCTCGATTGTGATTGAAAGAAAGCATTGGATTGGACGTGTTCCAAGGAATGATTATTGCTTTGGAAAGAGTTCCAAGTTGATGTGGGCGGGGGAGAGGGGGCACCATGGATTATCGTATGGGTTTGGGTTGATCTTCAAGCATGTCGGGTCGGTGTCGGGGTATAGAGCAGCAGCAAGCATAAGTAATAGATATCGCCATCACGAAAAAAGGGGGAGTGGGGGAAGGTTCAAAGCACCAAAGCCAGGAGGGAACCGCACAACGAAATAAGGAGGAGAAAAAAAGGCAAAGCATATCCATCGGGATGCGAGAAAAAAAGAGAAAACAAGCTTCACATCCCCAACAACGAATCATCACTCTGCACCTCAGCCTTCAACCCCCTAACACCCCTTGTCCTCCCCCTCTCCTCCACCAACCCCTCCCCACCCTGCTCCTCCCGTTCACCCTCCATCGAATCAGGGCTCAAACTCCCCTTCCCCATACCCATCCCGCCCAGCCCCATGTCATCCTCAAGCCCCATCATAAGATCATCCCCGTCGTCCCCTCCCTCCTCCGGCATGCTCGGCAGTCTTCCCATATGCCCATGCCCATGATGGAAGTGGTGTAGCTCGTCGTGAAGGATCATATTGCTGCCGTCCCCCCCAGCCGTTGGAGTCGAGTCCGAAAGCGGTGGTTCCATGCTTGAAGAGCTGCGTGATCGTCGGCGGTAGGTTTTGAGTTCTTGTTCGAGCTCGCGGTTGCGTGCGCCTTGTGCTGTTACGAGTTGTTGTAGGTACCTAGAGAGAGGTGGGGTTGTGTTATAGTTGATTGGTTAACGAAGAAAGAAAGCGACAACCCACCTAATATACTCAACACTCTTCCTCAAAATCATCCCCTTATTCGCCTTGACAACACCCCCATCCCCCCCTTGCTGCTGTCCCACACCTTCCTCACCCAATGAATCTTTCCTGGTCGGCGTCCCGTTCAATCCATTCGCACTTGGATTAGGATTGTTAAGCCCATTCAACACGTCCACGGGTGTCAGCTGCGAATCTGGGTCTGGGAGACCGTTTGACATGATCCCGCCGCCGCTTGCGCCTGGGGAAGCGGCGGATGGGGAAGAGGCGTTGCCGTTTCCGTTTCCGGTTCCATTTGGACCTGGGGAGGGAGAGGGTTAGTTTGGGTTCTGGTTTTGGGATGAAGGAAGGGGGGACAAAAAAACTCAATGCCCATAACGAAGCACAAGAGAAAAGGGAAGGGGGAGGAAACCTCCAACCCGGTGGGTCAACACCAAAAGCAAAAAGCACCAAAGCCAAAGCCAAAGCCACAGCCGCCCCCTCCCCTCCCAAAAGATGGAGGGGGAAGAAGGAACATCAAAGAGCAACACCAAAAGCAACCAATCACATCAACCACCAACCTCCCCCTCGGAAAAGAAAACAAAAAGAAATGAGAGGGGTTTAGTTCGTGTTCAGGTTTTGGGATGGAGGGGAACAAGCGCCTCAACCCATATCGGGAATCGATTCAACCCAAAGACGCGGAAATAGACGGCGCAGTCGAAAAGAAGAAGAAAAAAAAACTCACCGCCAACATCCAACATAGACTCCGGAATCAACGTAGCAAGCTCACTAATCTTCTCATTAATATTATCCCTCTGTCATCGCTCAACAGCATTATGGCTCTCCCGCCTCCTTCGTTTCTTGTTAGCCAGTAAGGCTTGTTTGTCACCTGCTGGCTGTTGTCCTCCCTGCTGCTGTTGTTGTCCCTATTGCTGTGTGCGACCCCAGGGGAAGGCGGTGGGAGCTGCACTTGTTGAGCTTGATTTTGCGTTTGGGGGAGAGGATCGTAAGAAGGGAGCGCCATCAAATTAACAGCTTGCGTGTCTAACCCCTTCGGCAGCAAGTGCGAATGCGAATGCGCGTGCTGGTGGGAATGGTGGTGCAAAGGCGGGAGATGGTGATGCATGTCTGGAGATGAGGAAAGCACGAAAGGGGTGTATTGTTGATGATGGTCGTTGGGTGTGAGGAGTGAATATTCCGAGGCACTGCCAGTGTCATCATTCATCAGTTGCACGAAGAGAAGGCGAAAAAGAAAGACGCTTACGAGCTCTGACTCTGCCCAGCCGAATACCACCCATTCCCCCGAAGAAGTACTCAATGGACTACCAGCATGCGCCATCCCACTCAAACTACCCATCCTGCTCCCGGGGATAACAATCGCATGCGGCCTCCCATGCCCATGATGAACACCAAAAGGGGGCGGGGAAGTCCCACTGATGCCATTATTCCTCCTGGCCCTAGTCGTCCTCACAGGCCCTACACCCCCCGCCCCATTTGCAGCTAGTGTTCGCAAGTTCAGTTCAGTCCGGTTTTTTGCCCCCAAAACGCGCAACCGTGGACCGCAACCGGTCTAGGACCGACCCAGATATTGAGGGAACCGAACCGAACCACCTAGGACCGGTCTTTTGCAGTCTATGGAGCCGGTTCAGACCGATCCAGACCGGTTTTTTTGCATATAATTTATTATACCAATATAAACCATTTGTATCTCAACTATTATTACTCTGAAAAATAAATGGGTTCTATAAAATAGTAAAGCATGTAAATACCTGTCATTCTACCAATTTTGAAGAGATTTAATGAAGATTTGACATAGCTATGACTGAAACCGAATTACTTCTCATAGAGACTCAGGTAAAATATGGATTTGGTTATATCTTTCTCAATTCTTAACCGTTTTTGATGAAACAAAAACCCAATAAAAGGTAATAAACGTGGTTACAAGGTTATGTAACGCACGTAACCGTTTAACCGGTTGCAACCGATCAAAACCGGTCTTTGAACGGTTTTAATATATTTTCGAAATGAGGCAACCGGCAACCGGACCAACCCCAAATTGGGGCAACTGCAACCGAAAAAAAGACCGGACCATGGTCCGGTTCAGTTCGGTCCACCGGTTTTTTGCGGTCCTATGGACTGAACCTTTAAACACTATTTGCAGCAGCGGATGAAGCTGGGGAGGAGGGGCGGAGCTAAACGATGGAGGTCTAGATCGGGAACGGGAGCGGGATCCTGGGGAAGGGGTGTGTCGTGTCAAGTGGTGAGGATGGAACGATGATGGTGGTGGTTCGTGGTTGAAGATGGGGGGAGTTGAAGGGAGGAAGGAGAAGGGGGGTCATATCACATTGTGCTGTTTATCGTGGGAGGGTGGAGTTGAATGATGGATGTTGTTGATATGTTTCGTGGAGGCTACTTGGTTGACTCCTTCCGCCATTGTTGGCGGTGGTGGTGGAGGAAGAGGAAAAGTGTGTTGGAATGCTGAATAAGCGGTGGACGATGCGCTGGAAGCAGATACGTCGAATATGGTATGCGTGCGGTATGCCGTGGTGGGGTTTTCATATGCCGTTGCGTTTTCATACTGGTGCTGGTGCTGGTGCTGGTGCTGGTGAGTGTGATGGTGGTCATTAGGCGTCGATCGATCACCGGGTCCACCAAGAGCGTAACCGTGAGCAACTCGTCATTAAACTCCACATTCGAAGCAGCAACCACGTTCACCGGACGAAGAGAACTTGCAAAGGGATCGGGGAGTGGTGCTTACCATCCAAATCATAAAACCATGGCCTAGGCCAGGAAGGCCTTGTGCATAGCTCCACATACTTTTATGAAAAGTATATCATATATATCCCAGGCCCTTTTATGATAAGGATTTTTTTCATAAGAGGCCTTGTGCATTTCAATAACTTTTTATTGCAGGTCACAACTTATCATTAACTGCTTTTCATTGCAGTCCAGCCATTTTCATTGACAACTTTTCATTGCTGGCCAGCCCTTTTCATTATCCACTTTTCATTGCTGCTGGCATTTTCATTGGGTGCTTTTCATTGCAGGCCAGGATATTTCATTGGTAGCTTTTCATTGCTCTCTAGGATTTTCATTGGCTACTTTTCATTGCAGGCCAGCCTTTCTCATTGACCACTTTTCATTGCTGCTGGTATTTTCATTGATAGCTTTTCATTGCAGGCCAGGATATTTCATTGGATACTTTTCATTGCAGGCCAGCTCTTTTCATTGACTGCTTTTCATTGCTGCTGGTATTTTCATTGGTAGCTTTTCATTGCAGGCCAGGATATTTCATTGGATACTTTTCATTGCAGGCCAGGATATTTCATTGGATACTTTTCATTGCAGGCCAGCTCTTTTCATTGACTGCTTTTCATTGCAGGCCAGGATATTTCATTGGATACTTTTCATTGCAGGCCAGCCCTTTTCATTGGCTGCTGTCAGGTGGGTCATCAGGAGAATGGTCACATGACCAGTTGCCTAAAATGGTTAAAAGCAAAAATTGTAGTCCTGCACTGTAGCTTCCTGAATCTGTTTAAATTATGTTGTAAAGTGCTTTCATTGTAGAGATATGAGGTAAAATATTTTTCTCATCGCCAGCTTTTTTTTTTTTTGCATTTTTTGCATTTTTCTCCATGAAAACAAAACCAAACAAGATGATTTTAACACATTTAGAAATCCAAGAGAAGAGGCTACAATTATCATATCATGGGAAAATTGTGCCAAAAAGGAAGGTGTATACCTCAAAAGGAAAATTGACATGGATAGCCTGCAAAAGGCTTAGTGTTGCCGCGGCTTCGGCTTTTAGCTGGTTCAAGTCACAGCTGAGCTGAAATTAAAGCCGAGCCGATTGATCTGGCTTGGCTACTACTTGAGCCGGCTAGAGCCGGGATTTTCAGCCTCATCAACCACACATGCTAGCTCATTCGAAACAAATAAAATTGGCCTTTGTCTGTACATATTATTCAACTAGTATGTAATAGAATATACTTTAAATGAACCTAAGATCATAGAAAATAGCTAAGAATTGCCTGAGATGGTGTGACAGAGTCACACCCCCAAAACAGAGAATGTAATATATCTCTGGAACGCGGACACGCAAACCTCTCGTCTCTTCAGGACCTTCAAACGACACTGAAATATGTTTTAAACGAGCCCTAGATCATAAGAAACGATGGAAATTTGACCGACCTAGGGTACTTGCTCCCCAAAACAGAAAATGGAACATAGCTCCAGAATGCGGACACGCGAACCTCTCGTCTCTTCGGGACCTTCAAACGACACTAGAATATGTTTTAAACGAGCCCTAGATCATAAGAAACGATGGAAATTTGACCGACCTAGGGTACTTGCTCCCCAAAACAGAAAATGGAACATAGCTCCAGAATGCGGACACGCGAACCTCTCGTTTCTTCAGGACCTTCAAGCGACACTAGAATATGTTTTAAACAAGACATAGATCATAAGAAATGATGGAAATTTGACCGACCTAGGGTACTTGCTCCCCAAAACAGAAAATGGAACATAGCTCCAGAATGCGGACACGCGAACCTCTTGTCTCTTCGGGACCTTCAAACGACACTAGAATATGTTTTAAACGAGCCCTAGATCATAAGAAACGATGGAAATTTGACCGACCTAGGGTACTTGCTCCCAAAACAGAAAATGGAACATAGCTCCAGAATGCGGACACGCGAACCTCTCGTCTCTTCGGGACCTTCAAACGACACTAGAATATGTTTTAAACAAGCCCTAGATCATAAGAAACGATGGAAATTTGACCAACCTAGGGTACTTGCTCCCCAAACAGAAAATGGAACATAGCTCCAGAACGCGGACACGCGAACCTCTTGTCTCTTCGGGACCTTCAAACGACACTAGAATATGTTTTAAACGAGCCCTAGATCATAAGAAACGATGGAAATTTGACCGACCTAGGGTACTTGCTCCCAAAACAGAAAATGGGACATATCTCCAGAACACGGACACGCGAACCTCTCGTCTCTTCGGGACCTTTAAACGACACTGGAATACGTTTTAAACGAGCCCTAGATCATAAGAAACGATGGAAATTTGACCGACCTAGGGTACTTGCTCCCAAAACAGAAAATGGGACATATCTCCAGAACACGGACACGCAAACCTCTCGTCTCTTCGGGACCTTTAAACGACACTAGAATATGTTTTAAACGAGCCCTAGATCATAAGAAACGATGGAAATTTGACCGACCTAGGGTACTTGCTCCCCAAACAGAAAATAGAACATATCTCCAGAACGCGGACACGCGAACCTCTCGTCTCTTCGGGACCTTCAAACGACACTAGAATATGTTTTAAACGAGCCTTTAGATCATAAGAAATGATGGAAATTTGACCAACCTAGGGTACTTGCTCCCAAAACAGAAAATAGGACATATCTC